TAAGTGTCATCTCCATCTCCGGTTTCGGGCTGGTGTTTGGGGCTCAGGACCCAAGACAGCACCCCAGAGTTCAGGGGAACTGGTTGAATTTTTTTAAAAGAGGATTCGGGATAATGTCATGGTTCCAAGTAACACCTCTAAGGAAAGAAGTCTCCGGAGCTTGATTTTCCTCCAAATTCCATTTTATGAGAGATGTCATGTTGGCAGATCTGGGAAAACCCGAATCTGAACGCTTCCAGGTTTTCCCCACCCAAACGAAAGTTCAAGTCCCTGCCCAGCACCCACACGTCCATCTCATGGTCCAATCAGGCTCCGTCCCACCTGGAGTTGCCTCCCAGTCACACCCCTCAAGGTGCAGGGCAAAATGTCCTTGACTCTCTGAGAAAGGAATGTTATTTAGACTATATATCTCCATATAATTCTCCCCTCCCATTTTCCTACAGGATTAAATGTGGCAGGCCAATGCAAAAGATGGTTTCAAGGCCTGACACTAAGAGGGATCGGGAGAGGACAGTTAATTTTCTCAAGGGGCCACACAAGAAACTAAGACAGTTGCCAAAGCAGGGGTCTCCAACCTTGGCAACTTTAAGCCTGGCGGACTTCAACTCCCAGAATTCCCCAGCCAGTTCCCCTTGTGCCTTTATTCCCAAGTCAACTCTGTTCCTTAGCTCCTCCTTGTCACATTGTCCAATCAGGAGTTCTGGCATCATCCCGGCAATTCCTTCTAGTCTCCAAGCAGCACCTCTTGAGATGACTGACCTTGGTTCCCACAGTCCCATGATCTGTTATTATTGTCTGTTCTGACATTCCAACCAGAGGTGTCAAACTCGATTTCATTCGAGGACCCCATCAGGGTTGTGCTTGACCTGGAGGGAGCGGGGAAGCGGGATGGGCATGGCCAGGCTGGGTGTCAAATCACTTGTCGAGGATCCGTTTTCAGCTGTGACAGCTTCCTGCAGCCCTCTGCCATCAAAAACCAAACTCGTGCTCCGTTTTCGCTGGCAGAGGCAATGCGGGCTGGTCCTTCGCTGTTTACACGTTGCAGGGCACAGGTCAGATCTAAGCATCCTATGAGTCGCATTTGGCCCACAGGCCTTGAGCTTCACACCCC